TAAATCTCATTAGCTCCCTATTTATTTACAGGATTAAATATAAAATCCTCTTTTGGGCTATTGCAACCTTCCATAACCTGGCCCTTGCCTACCTTTTTTTAGTCTTTTTATGCTTTATTCCCTTCCATACATTCTATGATTTAGCAACACTGGCCCCCTTGCTGTTCCTTAAAGAAGGTACTTCATCATGTAATTCCAGGTTTTCCCCTGGCTATCTCATATGCATCAAACCTTCTCTCTCTCTCTTCATCTCCATTTCTGGGCTTTCTTCAAGTCTCAGTTAAAGTCTCCTCTTCTAAAGGAAGCCTTTCTTAGTCTTCTTTAATCTTAATGTCTTCCTTCAAGATTATCTTCAACTCATAATCCTACCATCTTTTTTTCTACACAGTTGTTGGCATGTTGTCTCTTCCATTAGACTATGAATGTGTTGAGAAAAGGGGCTTCTTTTTTCAACCTGTCTACTTTATATAGTATATCATTTTCTCATAAATGAAAATGATGTAATGGCTGGTGGAGGCTGGGATGTGGCCTCACAATATTTTTCAGTTTGTTAGAGCAAAGTAGCACAGATACACTTACATAGAGATTGAAAAAAAGGGAGTAAGCTTAATTATATTTCAAGAGTTACCATACTCCTGGGTGACTACTTCAAGATTCTTTTTAGATGCTCTGAAAATTTTAACATGGAAAAAATCATAGAAAATCAGAGTTATCATCTAATACGTGTTTTCAAGCACCCCTTTGGATCCTCATAGGAAAATGATGTAAATTAATTTCAGTCATTTGTTGACTTTAACCTATCCAGTCAAATCACTGTGTAGTGTCATTCAGGTCTTTGTAAACATCTCTGGTGATGAAGTTTGTTAAAAATCTCTCTGTGTAACTCAGGTTTCCTGATGGCTTCAATCATCTTGATTAAGACTCTTGAACAATTATGTAGTGCTGGTGGGGGTGGGCTCATGGAGATTATGTTACATATTCCCTGGTTGTCTTTTGAATACCGTATAGTATAGTATAAAGATAACTGGACTTTTAGATTCTACATTCCAGGTCTGACCCTGAAATTTACTGTCTGTCTGAGCTTATAAAAATTACTTAACTACAATGGGAGAAGAAGATATGGTTAAGTGTAATGAGTCAGAGTGTGAAGTGAGTATCTAGAGCTGAAAGACCTGGGTTTGAATCCTAACTGATCTACTTACTATCCATATGACTTTGAACAAGTCTTTTTACTTCTAGGTGACTCATCTTCCTCATTTATAAAATGAAGTTTGATTAGGTGACCTCTAAGGCTCCTTTAGACAGATAGGTGGTTATAGTGGATGGTGTGCTGAACCTGGAGTCAGGAAGACTCATTTTCATGAGTTCAAATCTGGCCTCAGACACTTACTAGCTGTTTGACTCTGGCAAGTCATTTCACTCTATTTGCCTCAGTTTCCTCCTTTGTAAAATAAGCTAGAGAAGGAAATGGCAAACCACTCCAGTATCTTTGCCAAGAGAATACCAAAAGGAGTCATGAGGAGTTGGACACAACTGAAAAATGACCAAACAGCAAGACTCTTTTTAGTTTGGAATCTGAGGTCCTATGACCACGGGTCCCTAGTTTCCCCACGTACAAAATGACACTGTTCGACTAACTGATCTATAAGTTTCTCAACAGCACAAAATCCTATGATCTCAGGGACCAAGGATATATACTCAATAAGCAGATATACTCCATGAGGTATATAACTTGACCTTTGAAATGAATACTTTTTTATGTTGCTTTAATTGAAAAAAAATGTATATGAAATGACAAGAACTTCCTAAGAAGGACAAAAGACTTTACTGTACCTGAAGGGCATCCTGATATTCATCCTCTCTGCATATTTGCACAGCGTATCCCACGGGCAGTGGATTTTGACAAACATGATATCACTATTCGTAATGGATTGCTGTAAAGGAGAGCAAGACAGGCACCATGAATGAGCTATGGAGTGGATGCTAAACTATGTAACCTCATTTCCCAGGGAAACCTTCTCTCTTAGAATAAAAGAGATCATATCTGACAAGTTGGAGAGCATCCAGCATAGGGTAATTAGGATGGCAAGGGATCTCAGGACTCTGCCATGTCAGGAACAATTAAAGGGGCTGGAGGATGTCTAGTCTGAAGAAGAAATTCCTAGGAAGGACATGAAATCTGTCGTCAAGTATTGGAAGGGCTGACATGTACAGATACTAGATTCATCAGTATATCAATTGCTCTAGGAACATTTGTATCCATAAATTCCTGTAGTCCCAACTCCTAACACCATAACTCCTTCAGAACTCTGTCTGAGGAAGAAATCATATTGATTATGGAAATTAGGCTAGAAGAGAGGACAAGGAAAGAACAGAGGTTCTAATTTAGAGGGGCTTTGGTATCTTTGAAGGTTAATCTAAGAGGTGCATATCTTTTTCATTCCAGTGTTGAAGTGGTTCAGTAGGTGATACTTTGAAATGCAAAGCAAAGAACGTACTAATTTCCATTTCAAAGAGAGAAAAGTAAAGGATGTCCAAATTCTACAATTAATGTCCCAACCCAGGAAAAATTACACAGACACACATTTATTTAACTGCGCCATCAAGTATATAGTTCATGTCAGTGGCTGAAGTACAGCCATGGGCCATGGTTCTTACTTAATTGACTATCCTTCAAACATTTTGACACCTTAATTAGTTGAAGTTAAATTGCTTCAGGAGGCAACTGTTGTTACTTGGATGAGACAACAGCTTCATCCATTTTTGTGCTATTAAACAACTTGGCATTATAAGAAGATCTTATAAGGAAGTCTTTTTGGAAAGAGTGGTGTATTTGGAATTAAATGACTTAGGTTGAATCTGGGGCTTGGCCAAGGTGATTCACTGAAATGGTCCAGACATTCTGGAAAGTAATTTGGAATTATGATCCCAGAGTTAGTGAACTATTCATGCCCTTTGACTTGGCAACAACAATACTTTGCAGTGGCATTGGCCTATATTCCAAAGAGATCAAAGAAAGAGAAAAGAATCCTATACGTAAAATAATATTTACAGTATATCTTTTTGTGTTGGCAAAGAACAAGAAACACTGAGGGTACCCATGAATTGGAGAATGATCAAACAAATTGTGGTATATAATTATCATGGAATACTATTGTGCAATGAGAAATTAACAAAGAGATGGCTTTAGCAAAACCTGGGGAGATTTGTATGTAATGTTGTAGAATGGAATCAGGAGAATCAGGAGAATATATAACATTTGCTATATGTGAGTTTGGAGAGTGTTGGTATATAACATTTCAAGGATTGGCCATCATATTTGGTAGTTTGCCACTGCTCCCTTGGGCAGCTAGGTGGCACAGTGCATAAAGCACCAGGCCTGCAGTCAAGAAGCCTCATCTTGTTGAGTTCAAATCTGGCCTCAGCCATTTACTAGCTGTGTGATCCTAGGCAAGTCACTTAACTCTATTGGCCTCAGTTTCCTTATTTCTAAAATGAGCTTGAGAAGGAAATGGCAAGCCATTCCAGTATCTTTTCCAAGAAAACTCTAAAAAAAATGGGATACTACTGAAATGACTGAACACTACTGCCCTCTTTGGTATTATTAATTGTGTCAAATTCTATTTCCTGCAAGAGGTCTTTCCTGTTCCTCAAAGCTGATATTACTTTCACATTACTTTCATCAACTTTTTACATATCTTGTATGTATTTAGTTATTTATATGTTTCATCTATTAGAGCATAGGTTGCTTGTGGTTAGGGTTTTTTTCCCTCTTCATTTTGTATTGCCAGTGCTTAACATAGAGTCTAACACATAGTAAGTGATTAATTGACTCAAATGATGTGGCAAGGGTTATGGTCTCCATACAACAGTAGGAACACAAGATCTTCTATGTGCCTGAGTTCCCTTTCTGAGAAATGCACATCTACATTTAAGCATTAAGATTGGAGGAAACTGAGGTCTAGATCAGTCTAGTTGACCCATCAAGGATGTACTAATGGCCTAGAATGAGAATTATCTTTCAGGCTTTTCTCATAGGGCCTTCTTAGAGTTCTAACATTCTAAAACTCCACCCTTACCTATGAGTAGAGGGAAGAAAACAGGGAAGAGATGTCAGCTGTCACAGTCTACTTCATGGAAAAGAATTATTTCACATTGTACCTCATTTCTCTAAAAATCAAAATCCCAATATACTGGATATAAATGATTCATATCTTTTGAAGTTGTCTTACTTCAATGGCCCCCACCTTTTCCCTGTATATTCTAAGAACAGATTGAATTTTCTTCTTCCCCACCTCTCTACTTGAAAAACAAGTCATCTGCCCAATTTCAGTCCTCTAGAGATAACAATACATCAGCAAAGTTACTCTAATTCAACTAACTTTCATATCCATTATCTCACTTTGGGCATCATAACATTACTTTGGGATGGCTGGCTGTGGAAGGTATCATCATTCTTTCATTACAAATCTTTCATTACAAAGTGAAGAAAATGAAGCACAAGAGATTAAGTGGCTTGCAGTAGGTGGCTAGAGTGCTGGACTTAGAATCAGGAAAACCTGAGACATAGCTTCAGATACTTATGAGTTGATGTTGGGCAATGCATTTCACCTTGCTCTGCCTCAGTTTCTTTTTCTGTAAAATAAAGGGTTTGGACATGATGGTCCCCCAGGTCCTTTCCAGTTATAAATAAAAAGATCCTATGAAGTCTCATGGTGGCTAATTTACTACTGAATGTCACCCCACCCCCTGACCAGTATTATTGCTAGATTCCTCCCTACCCCTGCCACCATTATGCTTCCCCTCTCAAAGATTTTTAAAGCATATTCTGCCACAGAAAAATTCTTAAGGTTCTTCTATTTACTAAATAATATCTTTCCATTTGCTCAGATTCACTGCTGAGTTATACAGAATAATATGTCTAGGAGAGGTTATCATCCATGTTAGATAAGAGGCTTCTTTCAATCACATCATAGACTTTCCCAGGGTCACCTAGGTCATAAGTAGTAGAGCTGGGATTCCAATGCAAACTTTCTTGACTCCAAATCCAGCATGTTCCATTGCCCCTTATTCAAATCAGTGGTTGTTTGGGGGAAAGGGGTAGGGGTTGAATGAAGGTAGGAATTCTATGCCATGAGCTATGCTGAGTGCCTTACAAAATATTACATCATTTGATCCTCACAACAACCTTACAACAATCCTTACAACAAAATCTTCCTTTTCAGCTTCCTTTTATGTGTCACCTTCCCTTTTAAACTGTAAGTTCCTTGAAGATGGGGACTGTCTCTTTATTATATTTTCAGGTCTCCCATTGCACCCAGGACCCTCACCAGTTGTCCTGATTTATATCTTGCCATTGGACCCAGATGGCTCAGGAGGAAAGAGTGAGGCTGATGACTTTGCACAGCCCTCCATCACTATAATCCAATTCACTTTCAAGTCACGGCATCACCTTCCTGATGTCATGGTCCCCTTCGAGAATGAAAGACAAACAACAACAATAACATAATGGGAATCCACTTTGGGAAGTATGGCCTACTGCTATGTTCCCTGGAAGAGTAGAGATTTCTGGAGAAAGACTACAGAGTTCTAGGCTACCTGAAGATTGCAGCACCAGTCTGGAAGCATAACCTATACTTAAGAGATCATTGCAGGAATTTTCTGTGATGTGATCTGGTCTCATGGCCAGTGAATTAGCATACATCTGAAATTGTTTTTCCAAGGCATTCTCCTCCCTTATAATTATTAAGGACTGTCAGAGAAGTGACAAAATCCTTTCAAGAAAAGATAATAATTTTATAATTGAAAAAAATGGCAGCTAGATGGTACGGCAGATAAACTACTTGACTTAGAGTCAACTAGATGTATTACCCTGGACAATTCCTTTAACCTCTTCCAGCCCCAGATTCCTCATCTATAAAAAGGGGACAACAATAGCAACTATTTCACAGGGATGTTATAATAATAAAATCAGAATATATATATATATATATATATATATATATATATATATAAACTTAAAAGGCTATGTAAATAATAGCTATTATTATTATTTATCATGAAATAACTATAAAGATGATACTAACAGTGTTATATAATTGTTTTTAGCTTAAAGAGCCCTTAAAAATAAACTAGTCCAGCTACTTTGTTTTAAAAACAAGTAATATAGAATATAAGGTCCCTGAAGGCAGGAAGGGCTTTCTTCATGTCTTTGTATTCCTAGAGACTAGAAAAGGCAGCAAGGCATGCTGGGTAGAGAGTTGACCTCAGAACCACAAAGAACTTGGCCCGCGGTTCCTCCTCTGACACATACTAGCTATGTGACCTTGGGCAAATCACTTAACTTTTCTGTTCCATTCTAAAAATGTAAGTGACCAATAAGGTGCTGACTTTCACTGGTAGAGATTCCTCTTCCAGAAGTTTCCTCTGTCAATGAAATCATAGGTTCAGCTCCCATCCCCAGCTGTTAGCAACATACTCTGTATTCAAATACAAGTTTTACAAATCCTTCTTGCAGGCTGAATAAAAGGATTGTAGAAGAGGAGAAGCAAAGCAAGATGGGAAAGGTCACAAAGCTAGTTAGCAACAGAAAGGCAAGCAGAAGAACCCAGTCCTTGCTCCTGGTCCACTTCTCATTGTACTGTTAGCTCTGTCTCTGATTCTTCAGTGGCTTTCTAGAAATGAGCCAAGATGGAGGCAGGAGAGGTCATAGGCAAAGATGTTCGGGAATAGGACTCAGGGGCAGAAACTCTCCTATTTCCAGGAAACAGCATTCATGGCACCCCTGCTTTGCTTTAAGGCTAACACGTTTTTGAAAATGTGCTTCAGAACAGAATCTCTGCATGACAACATCTCCGCCATCAGCTATTGAAATGTCAAACCAAGTGCAAACCCAGCTAGAAGGTTTCTCCTTTTGTACCTTCCCCCTGGGATGTAAGATGTGTCTCCTTCTGCGCCTCCTCCACTTAATCTCCCTTTTCTTATTTCTCCTCTTTTAGAGAGGAATAATTTTGCTTGTAGCAGCAGGAAAACCGAGTACCTTTGCTTCAGAAAAGAAAGCTTGGCATCTGGCACTCCTCGATTTGGTGGAGGCACACTTTTCAACATGAACAGAACGCCCACTGTGTTCACCCTTCACATCTTTATTAAATTATTCCACCCAACATTCCCAAGAGGTAGAGCCTTTAGGTTTCACAGATGCTAAGCCAGAAGCCCTGAAAAGCTTGGCAACTTGCATGAATCACACCACAAAGCCCAGAGTTACTGCTCTAAAGAGGAAGGAGACTGACAAAGAGCTTGATCTGGAAGATGTCAGGATTCTAGTGCTGGCTATTCCACTAAGAAGCTGTGTAACACTGGGTAAGTCACTCTAGGCCCCAGTTAATTCATCTACAAATGAGAGGGCTAGGTCAGATGTCTTTTTGAAAATCCCTTCCTGCTTTAACATTCTGTGAGAATATCTTCTATCTTGGCCAATCCTATCAATTATCAAATATTTGGGTACTGGTTGGCATAGGTTCAATTTAATTTAATTCAAGAAGGAAAAAAAAATAACAACCATTAGGGCCCAACTATGAGCAAGGCACAATGGTAGAACTGGGAGATATGAAGTCAAAGGGGGAGAGGGAGGGTGACACGAAACATACAAATAACAAGTACATATGGGGTACCAACAAAAGAGTACATACTAACTGAGAGACAGATAGATGGGGGGGACAGAGAGAGAGAGAGAGTGAAAGAGAAAGAGAGGGGGAGGGAGAGAGAGGGAGAGACAGAGACAGAGAGAGAGAGAGAGAGAGAGAGAGAGAGAGAGAGAGAGGGAGAGAGAGAGAGAGAGAGAGAAAGGGAGAGAGGGAGAGAGCACACAGTGGAACATGTAGGAAGGTTATGGATTGTTGTGTATAACAAACAGCTAGCAAGTACCCCTAGTTCAATAAGTGGCATGTAATGAGTGCTTCATATATGATCCCAATCGAATTGAATGTTGGAGCATCTTTTCTTTTCAGATAGACTGCAGTCTTCTTGAGCTCAGGGATGAGAATAGATTAATTATTGAATGAATGCTTACCGATTCATCATCAATAAAACATGTGTGCGAACGGTGAGGAATGATTAGGGCTGTTAGAGTAGTGGAAGGGAAACCAAATTCCAATAGCCCTGTGACTATTGCCAAGTCTCTCCTTCAGCTCTCTGATGCTCAGGTTGCTGCTTCCCAGCTCTGAAGCTCAATGGTATATTACCAGAGGATAGAGACTAGCTCTATTATTTAAACATACACATGTATAATAACATATAAACTAGTATACTGTGCTAATATTTGTGCATATATTATGTTTTCTTTGCTCTTATACATTATATATAATGTGTATATATACATGTATATATAAACATGTACATATATACACATAAATATAATCATATATATACTATGTATACTAGTACTATACTAATATATGTATATCTACTATGTACACTAGCATAATATACATAGCATATATACATACACACACATACAACAGTAAATATATCACACTAGTACACATAGTATATGATACATGCATACATTTACATACACATAAATACACATTATCTATCTATCTATCTATTATCTATTTCTTAGTATAGAGAAGAGACAGGTGGCACAGTGGATAGAGTGACAGGCTTGGAGTCAGGAAGACTCATCTTCCTGAGTTGAAATCTGTACTCAGACACTTACTAGCTATGTAAGTGGGTAAGTCACTTAACTCTGTTGGCCTCAGTTTCCTCATCTGTAAAATGAGCTGGAGAAGGAAATGGCAAACCCCTCCAGTATCGTTGCCAAGAAGACCCTAAATGGGGTCATGGAGAGTCAGACACTATTGAAACCACTGAACAACAACAGGTAATTCCCTCTACCACTACAAATCAGCACCTTCTCTGCAATATGCAGTCTTAGTTGCCTATGACTTACAGGAGATTGACTAGCTCAGGGTCAAGCAGTGCGTATAGGTCAGAGGTAGGATGTAAACTCAAGTCATCCTGACATCAAGCTGGCTCTCTCAGCTATGCCACCTCTGCAGACAACATAAATGTCAAAGGCCTGAATGAGAAGCCTAAGAGAAATATTTCCTTATTCCAGGTAAATACAGGCAATCACTTCACAAAAACATCCTCAAGCTAACAGAAGCATTAAAGTCACCAGAATTTTCATGAGCCTGGCCTTGGGAAGTGGCCAAGCAGACAGTGGTTTGTGTAACTTCCGTCTGCTAGTCTTTGCACCGGCATCTCCCTTTCCTAAAATACATGCTACCTCCCCACCTCTTTAACCTAGAGACCCTTGTTTGTTTGGTTTTTTTCAAAATTCCAGTTTGGCCTTCCTTCTTTTTGTTGTTCAGTCATGTCGGACTCTTCCGACCCCATGGATCATAGCACATCAGGCCTTTCTGTTTCCCACCACCTCTCAAAGTCTGTCCAAACTCATATTCATTGTTTCCATGACACTATGGATCCATCTTATCCTCCATCATCTCCTTTTACTTTTGCCTTCATTTTTTTTTCCAATATCAGGGTCTTTCCCAATATGTTCCATCTTCTCATTATGTGGCCAAAGTATTTAAGCTTCAGCTTCAGTATTTGACATTCCAGTGAACAGGCTGAATTAATTTCTCTAAGTATTGGCTGATTTGGTCTCTTTGATGTCCAAAGGACTCTCAAAAGTCTTCTTCAGCACCACAATTCAGTGTTAATTGTGTGCTACTCAGCTTGACTTTTTACTTGCAGCTTTTTCTGACCCATCAGCTGCTGGTACCCTCCCCTACTGAAATTTATCTTTTATTTATTTTGTACCTACTTATTTATGACTTTCCCCACCTAAGAATAACTGCATCTTGAGACCTGCTTGCTAACTGGCAGTTTTGTCCCAACCTGACATCTACATAGTGTGAAGAACTCCCTCTCTAGTCGGCTCCCTTGGAATTAGGGTTCTTGTTCTCTCTCGTCTGCTCCACATCTCCACCAGCTGTTTTCCTCCTACTTTTTTCTAGTTACCTGTTATATTTTGTCTTCCACTCTAAGGATGTAAGGTCCTTGAGAAGAGGGACTGTCTTATTTTTTGTAACCTCAGGCCTTAGCATGGGGTTTGGTATATAAATAAGTGCTTAATACATGTCTGCTCCATCTGTTCATCTATCTATCTATCTATCTATCTATCTATCTATCTATCATCTATCTATCTATCCTGTCTTCTTTGATAAAATGTAAATTCCATAAGGGCAGAGAGTGTTTCATTCCTGTCTTTGTATTCTTTTATGTAGCAATGCCTGGTAAAGAGTTAATATGTGCTTGTTAATAGATTGATTACTGTGCCATAATGGTGGACTTGAGGAGTTTGAGAAGCAGGAAGATGTGTATGAACTGATGCAACGCCATAAATAAACAGAGCCCTAATATACACAATGGTTCTGATAGTGTAAATGAGAAGGACAATAAAAGGTGGTTGAACTCTTGAGTGAGGGAAAAAATGATTGCCAAGTTCAGAGAAAAGGAAATGAAACAAAACTCCCTCCTTTTGGCAGAGAGTCAGGGAACCTCTCTAGGCACGTTGTTGCACATATTGTCAGAAGCAGTCACAGTTATTTGTAATGTTTGTCTAGCTATTTTTCTTTCTTCTAAGGAAGGGATTAATTCCAGAAGTGGAATCTTGAAATTACAGTGATAGAAAAGCAGAACTCTTTGACAAAACTTAAAAAAAAACCCTCAGTTATTAAAATAGTGTGCAAAAAGAATTCATTTAGGGGCAGCTAGGTACCATAGTAGATAGAGTCAGGAGGACCTGAGTTCAAATCGAACCTCAGACTAAACACTTGACACTTACTAGCTGTGTGACCTGGGCAAGTCATGAACCCCACTTGCCTTAAAAAAAAAAAGGTGGGCTGCTAGGTGGTGCAGTGGATACAGCACCAGCCCTGAAATCAGGAGGACCTGAGTTCAAATATGGTCTCAGACCAGACACTTGACACTTATTAGCTGTGTGACCTTGGGCAAGTCACTTAACCCCAATCGCCTCACCAAGAGAAAAATCATTTATGAGTTGAGCATATTTCTAAGCATGCATATTTTCACCAGGGAATGAATGTGGTAAAGATTCATACCTCTCTTTCCAACATCAAGCCTTCTTCTCTGAGGTTCCTTTCAAATGTACTCCTTCTCTCTACCTGAAGACTAGATTTTTTGTACACCAAGATGTAATCAATGCGCTTTTTCCCATCTTTGAAAAAGAGACTCGGTGTTGCTGCAACTTTCTTCTCCTTCTGCAAAGACAGGAACCCAAAAAGGAGAAGATGGTGACCAGTCTAGATCAGCACAAACAACTGAGGCAACCATTGTTGAGGAGCTTCAGCATTTTCTCTTTTGTTACAAGTCCCGATTGCCAAAATTATCTTCCAGTCAACAGATTAAAGATTTTTACTGAGTATACTTACCACGTGATGATACAAGTAACTGATGGTTTTATAATCCCTTAAGGGCTGCCCAGTACTTTACATAGATTATCTCATTTGAGCCTTACAAGGATGATGATGTAGTATTTATTAAAGACTTACAATGTGCCAGGTTCACGCACTGAGAAATATGATTATAAATTCAAGAAATAAAGACTATATTTTGAGAACCATTGATTCAGAAAGTAATGAGAAACTTCCTCCCCATGTACTATGAAAAGATATTAGTTTGTTTTTCAGTAAATTTTACTCAGTTATCACTTAACTGATAAGTATTTATTAAGCACCTGGTATATGTGAGGCATTGTGCAGGGCATCAAGTATATAAAGACAAAAACAAAGCAATCCTTGACTTGAAGGAATTTATGTTCTGTTATCCACCAGTTTGTTAGTAGTTCTGGGTTTGCCTTATTTCTTAAATTCACTGTGAGATTCATTAAAAAGGCCATATTTAATAACCATATATCCTCCAACTTCCAGATCAATACTCCATGTTTTTATAATAAATTATTCATATTACCAGGACAATAGAGTCACTTGCTACCTGAAGCTTGGGCTTAGAATAGCATCTGAGAGAATTAGGTGGCACAGTGGATTTGGAATAAGGAAGTTCAGTTAAAATCTGGCCTCAGACATTTACCAGCCGTATGACTCTGGGTAAGCCACTTAACGGCTGTCTGCCTCAGTTTCCTCAACTGTAAAATAAGGATCACAATAGCACCAGTTTCCCTGGGGTGGTTGTGAAGATCCAGTGGGATAGTTTTTCTTCTTTATCCACCTTGAGAAGTTCTTTTCCCGGGGTCCACTGATGAATTTGTTTTTGTTTTTAAAGGGATAACTGTTTCACAATAACTGGTTTCCTTTGTATTTCTACATATTTTATTTCATTCATTTAAAACATGACTTTGAGAAAGGGTCTTTGGACTTCATCAAACTGTCGAAGGAGACCCACAACACAAAAATGATTAAGAATCCCTTGGTTAGGAGATACTTGTGCTATGTAAATGCTACCTCTTCTCATTATTACTCTTATTACGCCATGCCAGATGTCCTATGTACCAATGAATGTGTATATTTTCATTTGCTCTCTCTTTCTCTCCCCAATATGTGTATGTATACATACATACACACATCTATATCTATCTATCTGTTTATCTTTCATTTGATCATGACAACCTCCTGAGGTAGGTGATATTATTATCACTATTTATTTGTCATAGGGGGAAACTGAAGATGACAGAGGTCAAGTGATTTACCCAGTGCCACATCCCTTGTGTCTGAATCAGGATCTGAACTCAGGTCTTCTGGATTTCAAAGACCAAGGACTAGATTTGGGACTTGATTTAGATACTTGGGGCGAGGAAAGGTGATGCCTCCATTTGCCATCCTGGGTGACTATGAGGGTGGTGGGGGGTGCTTCCCTATGCCACATAGCTATCTGAGTGAAGAATCAGGGAAGACTAAGAAAAAAACAATGCGTTCAAATAGCATGGGATTGCAGTCAGGACGGAGGTACTTACAGAGTATGAAGTTCTGTTTTTCAGCCTGGGCGGTGGGACAGACAATACTTTAATGGGGTTTTATGCCACAGGATGGTTTTCTGTGGCTTCTCACAAGAGCTGTTAAGGTCAATGAAGTAATAAGGGAATTTCAGGTTTGCTTTACAATGCCTCAAACTCTAAACAATGAGTTCAGTTGTGAGACCTTTAGAATCTCAATCTAAACTCACTAAAGGGCCCTGTGACATTTCAGACAAATGGGAAGCACTTTCTCATAGCTTGCCACACTTTTAAAATGGCTATGGAAGAAAAACCAATTAATTAACAAGCACATAATTCATCCTTCCATTCAGAGAAGCGATTCTTCACCAAAGACAGGGATTCAGGATGTCCTCTAGAATTAATTAAGATTCTGGCCTGTCTGTCACAAGCATTTCCCTCTTTAAAAAAATTAGTTCATTGGGAGAGGAATATTTTTTCTCTTGTCAGAGATTTGACAGTGACATATTTGATATATATGATACATAAAAATGAGTTTGACACATAAAATGGATTTGATACATAAAATGAATATATATGTTGATACATGTGATATCTACATTGCTGGATGGTTTGCTAAATAAAGGAAATAGAGATAGGACTTACACTTGTGTTTTCATGGGAAATAGAAAAGTCCCTGGTGTGGAAGTACTTCTACCAGTGCAGATTAGCAACTTCTTTGCAATTTAGCGTTTGACAGAATTGCCTAGATTACTGAGAGGCTAAGTGACTACCCCAGGGTCATACAACCAGGGTGTAGCAGAGGTAAGAGTTATATCCAGGTCTTTCTGGGTTCACTATGTTGTGCTGCACAACACTTGATATATTTATTGTTGTTTAGTCTTTCTTCAGTCATGTCTGATTCTTTGTGATCCCATTTGGGGTTTCCTTGGCAAATAATAACTTTCTGTTGATTGGCTGATAGTTAAATCAATTCTAATGAAGGAGACACAGTCAGACATCTACCAGAGTATGCTTTTTTTCATTGTTGCCAGCATTAAAATTAACATTCATACTTATACAGTGCTTAAATCTATATGATTCAATCCTCACAATAACACTGGGAGGCCTCTGGGGGAAATTATTGTCATCCTAATTTGGCACTTTGGATCACTGAGGCTCAGAGGTTAAACAGCTTGATCAGAGCCTTATTACTAGTGACTGAACTAAGAATTTGACCAAGGTAGTGGTGAGCTGGTAAATAATTAACCACAACTCTCTGAAAAGAAGGATATATATGACTCACTCAAGTTTACTCTGCAGTATTAATGTTTTTTCCATCACTTTTTTAAGGTTGATAATTGACAAGACAATAAATTAAGCCCTGAATGTTAGCATTTTCTGAATTCTGAGGTATAAATGCTCACATTGAAAATTTAACAATCTAATCTCATGAGCTCAAGCTGTCTCTAGCAAACCACTGAAACATGGTGCCCTCACTTGGAGTCTAAGACTCTCTGCAATGCACCACACTTTTTCGATGCCACTTTGGGTAGTGAAGTGTAACAGAAAGATCTGGATTCATAGGTAAGAGGTACCTGAGTTTTAACCTAAACCATGTCAGTAATTCCTGGGGTGACAGGCAAGGGACTCCTTCTTTCTGATTTTCATCTTTCATATCTGTCAAATGAGGACACTGGATGAGATGACCTTTAATCAATCAACATTTATTAAGTACCTACTATGTGCTAGGTGTTGTGTTAAGTATTGGGGATACAAAGAGAACAAAAGATAATTCCTACCCTCACAGAGCTAATGGAAGAAACAAGATGCAAATGTATGCAAAGCAAGTTAAATACAAGATAATTAGGAAATAACTAACAAAATCCTTCTTAGATCTAACCGGATTCTACCATTGTATCATCTGATATTACTCTTAGCTAGATATCAGGAAAACTATATAGAGCAAAGAGGTAAAATTGAAAAGAATGCTGAGCTTGGAGTCAGAGGACCCAGGTTCAAGTTCCTGCTCCTTTTAAAACCACGTCATCTTGATCATATGACAACATCTCTGGCCTCAGGTACCTCATCTGTAAAATGGGTAGAGAGATGGTTGGACCAGATGACCTCTGAGGTCTGTTCCATTTATCTTTTAGTTCTATTTAACCATGAAATGCCAAGTTACTGCACATGGTTAGTAAATGGGTCATACTAGCTCATTAATAGAGAGGAAGATGCCATATATTTAAAGGATTACTATTTTCAAAGAAGCATAATGGGATACAACAGAAGATACATGAACACTGAAATGATAAGGAAAAATAAAAATAACTGATACGTATAGGGCACAAAGCCTTTAATCTACATTGTCTAATTTATGTCTCATAACCATTTTGAGAGGTCTTCAAGTGTAACACTCACTTTCACTATACGTCTCTGCCTTAAAATCAAGAGAAAATCCTCTTTTTTAATGATTCCAGAAGGTCCTTCAGGATTTCGTGGTCTCATTATGGATGATTTAGTTTGGACCAGAGATGTACAGATGTCTTAGGCATTATCACGAGATCTCAGGGTTGGGTCACAGTGATATTGATGCATTCTACTATCCCACATGCTATGTGCATCTTTTGTGACTGAGAAAAGCCCTGTAATCCACACCTTCAGTAAAAGAATAACATTGACCTATAATGAAGACCAGAGGAAAGAGCCCTAGAGGATGTGTCTGGAGGCTCACCTTCCAATCCTACACCTGTGCTACCAATATATACCCTATGTGATTTCAGTTGCATCACTTCTCTGGGTCTCAGTTTCCTCACCTTTAAAATAAGCCATTGGGGCTAGATGATCTTTAAGGTTCCTTCCATTCCCTAATGACCAAGGAACTCCTAAATATTTACTTAAAGCTTGGTAATTAATGCTGCTATATTCCTAGATCCATTTTTAAGTAACTTGTAAAAAAGTTCTACTTAATGTACTTTATCAATGTCATGTCATAAAGTACAGGCCCCATCAAAGGCTACAACAGTACAGATCCTACCAAATTTGAAAATCCTCAAGTATGGCTTGGTAAAGGACTTTATGTCAATTTTCTAAGGAACTACTTAAACTAGTATAAATAATAGGATCAGACTTAGAACTTGAAGGGACCTTAGGGTCCATCTAGTCTAACCCATTTTTTCATAAATGAGGAAACTGAAGCCCAGATATGTGAAATAACTTGCCCAAGGTCATGCAGGTAGTAAAAGACAGACTTAGAATATGAACCCTAGTGCTACCACTCTAAATTCAGAGTTCTTTCTCCTGAATTACACAGTTTCTTTATAGAGGCTCATC